GATAGTACTAAATGTGAACCCCGTCTATTACGCGTGCTTCTGTCTACACCAGAGGAGCGCCAAGCTCTTTTGTGCTTCGTCTTTAAACTAAAGGGTTCCGAAGTGAGTATACAGCCGGATCTACCTTTAGCAGATGGGATAAAGCTTAAGGAAGCCATCAAAAACCTTAAAGCGCGTCGCGAAGCTGGAGAGAAAGATTTATGTTTGGTGGATTTTCGGGTGGGGAGCCGGCGGTCCACTTCCGCCCTACCAGGGCCCATTCTGGTAGCACACGACCCGGGGCTCGCCATACCAAACGTTTTCACCTTGTTCTCCTTAATGTGCGTAGCCTACAAAACAAGATGTGTGAAGTAGGTGCCCTAATAGCTCACTCCCATCCTGAGGTACTCACGTTCAGTGAAACGTGGTTGTCTTCTGACATCATGGACAGTGAATTATACGTTCCGGGCTACGCAATACTGAGATCTGACCGCCCATCTGATCGCCGCGGAGGTGGAGTCGCCTTGTATATCAGATGTGGTGTAAACATATCAAAAACATATACCTTTAACGCAGCTGATAAAACTGTTGAAGCTCTTGCAGGTGAAGTCTGTACGGAACCAAAGCAATTTAAAATTGTGCTGCTGTATAGGAGCCCTGATTGCGCTTCTAGGAGTTTCATTGACTTCATCTGCACTTACTCTGCGAACAGATGCTTGATAATGGGGGACTTCAACGTCCCTGAAGTAAATTGGCAAGACCTATCTTCTGGGGCAGCGAGAACAGGCTTAGCTGCCGAGCTTGTTGACTTGACACTGGAAATACCCCTAGACCAATTTGTCGATCGGTCCACCAGATACATGGTGGGTCATGCTCCTTCTCAGTTGGACCTAGATTTCGCAGTCGGTTGACTTTGTGAGTGATCTTGAGTACGGTCCCACTTCGGGAGCCAGTGACCATACGTGTTTGTCATTCATTTGGGCTGTCAATAGACTACGATCCACTCAGGGTTCGGACTCCATCATCATCATTACACGTTAGCTGGAGGTGGAAAACACCTCAGCTATTGTGCCGCAATACAAAATGAAAGAAAAGGAAAACAGTGGCAAGCCCGCTGAGTCCCCAGTAACGGATGGACATCGTTCCGGAGAGCTAACAGCTGGCTGCCGTAAAAAGAGAATCATATTATGCCTAACAGGTGAGATCGTGATTGGAGGGGGATACTAAACAGGAGGGGGGTGGGCAAAGGAAATCACAACACAAACGCCATTGGTGCCGGCTCCGAGCCATATCAGCAAGTGTGTCCAACCAAACGTGTTCACCGTCCTTAGGACCCCAGCCAGGCAGTCGGAATACACCAACCGACGCCAACTTCGAAGTGAGGGTTTTCATTCCTCTCGACCAAGTCATCACTTGGCCTCCCCTCCTCTTCTTCCAACCGCACCCGCAACGTGCAAACAATGCACGTCGTGGGAGTCGGTGTGCTGGCATGCGCAACACGTGGCCCAGCCATCGGAGCCTGGTGCGTGATATAATGGTGCTGAGCGGTTCACTCGCTCTTCCTGCACCAAATACGCGATGTCGAACACGCTCATTGCTCACGCGGTGTTCCCACCAGACATGAGCTAAGCTGCGAAGGCAGCGATGATCGAATGTGACGAGTCTCTTCATGTCAGTCGACCTGATGGGCCAGGTTTCACAGCCATATAGGAGAGTAGAACGGACGGCTGCGTTGTAAACTCTGCTCTTCAGGGCGAGAGTAATATCGCGTCTGCGCCACAGGTGGCGGAGATTGGCAAAAGCACCTCGAGCTTTTGCTATGCGGTTCGTAACCTCATCTTCAATCCCACGAGTGCTAATATAGCTGCCCAGGTACTTGAATTCCTGAACGACTTCTAGCAGATCACCAACAAGCGTTAGCGCAGGGTTGGGTCCCTGCCAATCTTGGAGAAGTACTTTGCATTTCGATGGAGCAAAGCATAGCCCAAAACGATTGAGAGCCAGTGCTAATTGGTCCAGTGCTCTTTGGCATGTTTGGCGGATGTCATAGATTAGGGCAATATCGTCCGCATGCTCCAAGTCAAGAAGTCGCTCACCAGGAAGTAGCTCCACACCATCTAGGTCGTGTCCAGCGAACGCTGTTTCTATGACTTCATCAATAGCGAAGTTGAAGAGGAAAGGTGACAGCGGGCATCCTTGTCTTACGCCGCTGGTGATACTGAAGGGTGGCGAGAGTTTGCCATAAACCCTCATCCTGCCCGAACTATGTGCGTACAGCGCTTTGATAATGTTTACATATTTATCAGGCACACCTTTCCTCAGCAGACAGTCCCAAAGGGCACATCGATCGACCGAATCGAAGGCACCTTTTATGTCAAGAAACTCGACAACAGTGGGTCGCCAATAAACATGGCGGTGCTCCAACACTTGACGCAATGTGAAGATGTGGTCGATGCAGCCCCGACCTCGACGAAATCCAGCTTGCTCTTCACGAATCTGGCTTTCACGAGTGCCAGTCA